CTCAATGCTTCCTTTTCAAATTTCGATGATCAGCTGAATCAAGGCTGTTCAGAGCACCATTAACTTTGCTACCGAAGAATTTGTCTCTGAATCGAGAGCTAAGTTTATCTTTCAATAAAACACCATTATATTGTGTACTTCTGAGATCATTATATCATTTCGTTCAAGAGTTGAGATTGTTTGGGACATAATGTTCATAAAATGATGCACAAAATACAAATAGCATTCAGGCAAAGTTAAGCCACCAGTCAAGTCGTCCTGAAGTTCATTTTGTTGGCCTCCTAAAAACTTCCAAATAATTTTGTGTGTCTCATCTTCTCCCTGATTAATAAAATATTGCTTTATAGCTGGCCAGCATTGTATAATCCGTTCTACAGCTCGGCGAAAAACGGATAACTACTGGGTAACGACGGGGCGAAGTACTTTCGCGTATTCCATATCTATATAAATTCGAAACATGCCTTTAGTTTTTCTACTTTCTTGGAAACTGTTAGAGAAGTCAGCAAATATTTTCAAAATCAGGTTCTCAACGTCGTACGATAATGCTTTTACACATATTTCTTGCAGCGTTGTGTACGACATGGCAATTGCAGTTACCTTTTATAATATTTGAATTAACATCAGTAAGTTTTTGATAGAAATTAATTTTATACCATAATTCACTGATGCATTATCAGCAGTGTACGACGATACATTTTGTAGATGTAGATCATGTTCCTTCAAACACAGTACTATGTTCGAAAATCGATGCGATGATTTATTGCTATCTGCGTAAAAGTCAATGATTGGCAGGTGGGGCGCGGCGTCGCGTTCCCCGCGCGGCCCTCGGCCGAAGGCGAGTCTTCCCCCTCGCGTTCGGATGCCTCCGCTCGCTTGCACAAGGCAGCAAGCGAGTCATGGGGCAGCGCGGAAGGAGAAGGCAACGCACTGCGGACCTTTCCGTAGGTGGGACCGATGCGTGTCGCTGTTCGCCTTTCGGTCGGTGTCGCGCAGGATGCGCGGCGCCTTCGGACCCAGCGCCCTTGCAAGCGCCAGCAAGAATTGTTTTTTTAAATCCAGAACTCCGAACACGTCGGTGTTTATAGAGTATCTATTGTGTGTGTGTGTGTGTGTGTGTGTGAGAGAGAGAGAGAGAGAGAGAGAGAGAGGGGAGGGGTGCGGGTACGCAGCGAGCCGCACTGCGCGGTTTTCCGCCGAGCGAATCGGTCGGAGGGTGGAGGGAGGTGCCGCCGGGAATACCTCGCAGGCAAACGTCCAAATCTTGGAACGGTAGGGCAATGCTTCTGTCTCCGGACGTGGCCTCTTAGAACAACGATTGATCGATTGATTGATCAGGGATTCCGGACGTATCTACTGACACGGTTATTATTCATACGTATGGTGCACGTAATATCTCAGGAAGTGAAGCACTTGTCTCCCGATATGTGTGGTAGTGTTGTGCACGTAGGTAAAGATTTGTTAGGGGGAGATGAGTGAACAAAGAATAGGAAGAAAAGATTGTGCACGGCATCGGCTCTTCAAGTCTAGGAAATGCTTATAAAGAGGAGGTGATACACTCAACTCGACGAAATAAATTACAAAAGACACATTATACGGGAATATATGCTTCTGAAGCAAAAAAGAAAAAGGAATAATTTATTATTAATATTATGATGAATATGGCGTATGTTTTTTGTCTGAAATGACTCATCTTGTGTAAGGGACGTATGAAAGGCCTAGAGTGGCCTAGAATAATAGGGTCTAGATTTTTGTATCATTTATTGAAATACACTTATGCACTTGGCTTTTTAGAGTCGGATTACTGAGAGTTTTGTCAGCTAGCAATGTCCCCAGACCTGGGCCCCGTTTTATTTATTATGCACGGCGGACTCCTTTCTAACGTATACAGGGCTTAGATTAACAGTCTGTAAAAGCTTGTAACATTCTTTCTGAGACGTGTTTTGTGTTTGCGCTCACCTAGGCGCAGGAGGCCGCACAGCAGCTGCACGGCGCCGGCCAGGAAGCAGAGCAGCACGGCGGCGTCGGGCCCCGCCAGCGACGTGGAGGCGGCCGTCAGCAGCGCCACCAGCGCCGTCAGCTGCGTGCTGATTTCCGTGCACGTGCCCAGCACCGCGTACACCAGCCCGCCCGGCAGCGCGGAGTACAGCCCGTACTGCGACACGCACGCCGCACGTCACTCGCGGGCGATCCATCGCATGCAGTAAGCGCATCATAACTGCGGCCCGGAGATTGTCAAAATGCCTTTCTATTATTCAGAGGATGTTAGAAACTTTAACAATAGAACTACTGCATTGTATTTATGTAGATGATTTAGACCATTTTAATTTTTTGTCTATTTTAGCACATTTTCTCTCCATGTCGAGGCTTCTGGATTTGGAAGTGTTAAAAATCTAATATTAAGTGGATTCAAGTCAAGATTTTGGATTTCAATCACAGTTGCCTACATGCTTTGTTCGCGCACGACAAATTCCATCCATCCATCACATTTGAGTAGTACATTTCTAAGAAAAACTGAAAAATAACATTTTTGATGGACGGAGTGTGCAAAAAATCTGGTGGTGATGTGCAGTCAAGGTTAAAAAGCAAAGACTGTTTCCTTTCATGTATGTGCTACTGTAAATTTCAGACTCAGAATAAAAAACTGAATCATTCAATTATTTTGTTTACAATAATTCCTTCTAAGTAGGTTTTTTATTGTTTGCATGTTGTCGTATACACCTCTTTTAGTCATAATAAATGCCTTTTGCAATGTTTGCCAATTTAGTACAAATTAACGCCTTTTTGCTTCCCAATTTTAGGTCAAATAAGTGCCTGAACTTTCGGACTCTTACTGTAACACTATCTAGACCCGTGAGAAAAGTTTGCTCTTTGTACGGCCAAGCCACGCAATGTGCGTTATACAATGCAGGTCCGGTAAGGTACGTAAGTACGTAAGTACGTAGGTACGTAAGGTACAAACGTTGTCTTATTTGCATGGACATGGTTAAAGATTTGAACTGAAGCATTGGGCGAATTTTATTACCAATGAAGTTTATTATTAATAATATAATAATAAGGACATTTTCTTTGATAAGGAGTACTCATCGCTACCTTTAGCTGTAATTAATTTGTTTCAAGTGGTCTTTTAGGACGGATGATTGTTAAATTTCCTTCCGGCAGCTGCAAGTGTGTTCCTCTGTTTAGTTGCGTTATGTCGATTACGATACAGTGTTATGTAAAGTGAGTTTCAATATTACTCGCAGAATTCTGAATGCTGTACAACAGTGACCGACCGAGGTTTGAAGTCCGATATCCAGAAGAAATAAAAACAAAGAATATAAAAAAAGAATAAAATATATTACAGAAGGCCTCATTTTATGAGTTGCTTTCAAAGAAAAATAACTCCTAAGCGCCTTAAAATCCAGAGAACTTGGCCTAAAGAGCCTACGACACTCAGTTTCTGTGTGTGCACGATTGAGCGTTCAGTGGAGAAGAACGTTTGCACACGTGGGACAACTTTCTAAATACCTTTTAAAGATAAACAACTTTCTTTGAAGCGATATAAATTCGCCAAAGACCTGAGAAATCATTCTTCTGATATCCGAGATGTGAACATTTTCATGGTATAAGAGAAGAAAAAGGAATTTTCACAATGATAATACCGCATGTGTGTGGAGGGAGACGTGCTGTGGCATTAGCCAGTGTTTGGCGGTATTTAATACATATTTTTAACAGAAATATGTAATGAATTTCAATCTTACAAACCACTTCTTATTGAAACCTAACATTGAAAAGATGTCCATTTTAGTTCAAATTTTGAACTCTGCTTTTCCAACGGCTAGATCTCATTTGATGTTACTGAGAAATCAAGCTAACGCGTGTGATAGTATGTTTTTTGCGAATCATAGCACAGTATATGATACTGTAAGTAAGTTACTGTGAGTAAGTTACTGTAAGTAAGTACTTTTGAGCACCTTCGCATGCAAAAACCTTGCTCCAGAAAGCTATACTCCATCGGAGACATCTTGTGTAACCATGTGATTTGCATCATGTACGATACAAAGAACATGATCTTATCTCGAGAGAAGGCATTTGTTGCCAAGTGAGGCAGCAGAGAGTGGTGCAAACTCTAGATTTCCAAGATATAACATCCTAGGCTGGGCAGTTCTAGACGAAATAATGTGAGATAAGAGGATGTAGCATTACGTTAATTTAGCTTTATCAGCACATACAGCCGATACTATTCCGAACTACTTTCATTTACCGTAGTGTTGGAAGGAAATGTGCACAAAGGCTTTGCACGTTGATTCAGTGCGTGGCGCCCGAGAGACGCGGTGCCGAAGCGCTCTCGCAGCGAGTCTCACCTGGGGCGGGAGGCCAGCGAGCGCGGCGTAGGCGACGGCTTGCGGCACGAGGGTGAGGCCGACTGTGAGGCCGGCGAGGGCGTCGCCCGCGGCGTCGGCCGCCGAGTACGAGGGCAGCCAGCGGGTGATGGGCAGGTGACGTCCGGCCAGCCGACGCGCCGCGGCCGTCCACATGGCGCCGTCCGCCTTCCCCTCCCCTCCGCTGCTGGGCTACACTGGCCAGCAGCACACCTGCACTCACCTGCTACGAGTCTCTTGCACTGCACTTCTGCGCTCGCTAGCTACTCGTCTGCTCCTCGCCTGATGGCCTACGCTTTCGGATGCCTCTGGCTGCCCTGGCTATAGGGCACACGATGGGGCCCTTGATATTCTCTGGGTAGAGCAACCCTTGTACTTCATGCGCGCTTATTCATGATACACTCCAGAGACGGATGCTTGGAGAGGAGACAACTTGGTTACAGCTGTTGCGGAACTGTTGACTAGCAAAAACAAAAAAACAAAAAAACCTCAATTTCTTGCTTTTAGAAAATGTTTGAGAAAATTGTTATTCAAACGTTTATAGAATTTGAAGTAAAATTGAAAGTTTTTAGTAAAGATAATTTGGGAATATGAAATAAATAAGATTCGGAAGGATATAAAATAATAAAGAAATGGAAAGAAGAAATAATCCACAATGTAAAAATTAATGTGTTTTTACTAAGACACACCAAAAAATTTTCAGGAATAATTTTTCCATGTTCAGGGGGTACAGCCAAACACTGTGAACAATATTATACTAAAAATCTAAACCTTAATGATAATAAAATAAAAATAATAGTCATCATCAGCAACAAGGTTTGGGCCTAATGGCCCGCTCTCAAGAGTCTAATAATAATAGCAATAATAACAACAATAATAATAATAATAATAATAATAATAATAATAGTAATACTAATAATAAATATTCCGATTACAAGAGAAATTTTTCAAGAAGATTCGCTATTCCTTCCGGTGTGTTGCATTAGTTTGATTCCACTGTCTAGACAGTTTCGAAAATGCGGAATTTTGAGTTAGTTTCCACAGAAAACGGTGTTTTCAAGAAACTTTATATGCCAATATTTAAATCACGTGAACTCATAAATATAATACTGAGGACACAATGCCACCAATATAAATATTAACAACGTGAGAGACATGTAAAAAAATTACAATTCGTACTTTTTCAAAAAACAACAACAAAGAATAGATCAATATGGCGTTTATGTCATCTTATAGAGTGCCTCTAGCACTATCCGTACAAAAAGTGTAAAGAAAAAAATTGGAGCCGTTTTCGAGAAAATCTGTTTTGTAATATTTTAAAATTGCACCTAATGTAATATTTTAAAATTGCGCGAAAACTACTAACATTTTCCAAAAAATGTACATGACCTTAATGAACGAACTAGGGGAAAAAGTTTACATGAACGAAAAAACTCTATTTTCAAGTTTGTAATTGCAGGAAGTCGCCGAAAAAATTCAAACATTCAAAATTTTCGAAAATTCAGAGGGTTTCACAAACCACCGCACCTTGACAGAAGTGTGAGTGGCCTAACAATATTAGGAAGTAGAAAATAGCGGACGTCCCTAGTTCAGATGTGGAAATATTTTCGAATAAAAATTCATGAAATGAAACAATTTTATAAACATGGAAGTTAATTCATTGAAGTAAATGTATAAATCACTTCACCAAGTTAAAATAACACTAATTTTCGAACAAAAAGTACTTTCTCAAATTCATTATTATTTCAGTATTATTTTTTACACAATCCTCGAACTTTATCAAATTTCGAGTTTACTATAGATTTTATCAATAAGAAAAACTGATGTAGGCTTCCACGGCCAGCGTCGTGTGGGTGATCTCGGCTGTTCGGGTGACGCCGCGTCGAACGCAACACAGCCTTCGACGCGGCGCCACCCGGACAGCCGAGATCACCCACAGTAAGAAAAACTACCATAATTGCAGATTTGCAATTGTATGTTTATAAAATTTGCATATTAGTGTATTTCTCGAATCGATAGAGGATTCTTAGGGAACTATTACAATAAAATTCAAAGACCAAGTGTATATTTATCATTATACAAACAATTTTTTCAAATTTATTTTCTGCATAATTTACAATCTGTTCCTATCGGAACAATAAGCAAATGGTGTCAACAGATTATATATTATATATATATATATATATATATGATAACAGTATACCCGCATTCACACACATAACATACACATCTCTGCACATAAAGATCCCTCTGCGCATCACAACATCTTCAAAGAACATCTAAACAAAAATCGAAGATTGGAGTCATCGGTTGGCGAAGTCACCGTTAATGAAACAAATAAAACATATATCAATTATCACTAAGAAGAAACGTGACACAAAGTATTAAACTAAACAACACAGAACTCCACGAAGCGTGATTACATCAAATACCTTGCGACTGGCATTGTAAACGCTTGACTTGGAAAAACACAACATCAAACATAAGAAAAAGAAGCGCGCTTAAAAGCCTCAATTGTCATGGCTAATAAACAATCAAAGCTGTCCTTGTGCAGTAGTATCAAGTAGCTATGATCTATTAAAACTACAATCAAACCAACATGGACCTATGGTATTGATATTGTACGGCTCTTCCAGTAATGAATCTAGAATTCATAAAAGATTCGAAGCTAAAACACTAAGAAAACTATGCGCAACGCACCTTGTACGTGACAAACAAGACGATATACAGAGACTCCGACATTCGTCCCTCCCGCATGGAGGAAGTAAATCCGCCCCACCGAAGAGCCACCACGTCCACTAAAACCACTATAATGTTGCACAGAGCTCCAGTGACTCTGATTACAATCTCCCGCCTCTTCTCGTTATCTTGCGCTACCTACCCATAAGACGACCTGCCACACCCCAGTCTTATAGTATCACACACTCCTTGCGATAACGCCTCAGACATCATGAAGCTTCGACTATACTACCATACGATATACACCAATACGCAATCGCACATACCAATAACAATAGCCTCAGAACTCCGTGCCTCGATGCCTACTACATGGAGAGAACCGGATCTCAATACTTCTGCCCACGGTTCCCTAAAATACCAACCTTCAAGCAGACACTGACGTACGCTTAATCGCGCTCACCAACGACTATCGGCATGGGGAACCATTGTCTTTGGTATGCTTTAAATTGTGTTTCCACAAATATTTGACTTCAATAGTATTATACGGAATAAACCAGTAATTTGACAAGTCACATTACCATATTTTTATCGAAAAGACATTTTGTCGGGCCGCACCCCCAAGAGATAAACCGGTACAACCAATCCGACTTAGCCCCACCAACGCCCATTTCCCTCCTGAGAGATCCACCATCTACTCTGCATTCAAGTCACGAGACCCCGAACACTACATCACCTTGAGTTTAAGCATACCCAAAAACAATGTTCCATATGCAAATATTTTGTAATATGTAGCATAAATTTATGAATGTGTTAAGTGTTTATACATTAAAATATAATTGTATATTTCTTCCTTTCTTTCCAATTTCATTTTTACTTCCAAATCAGAACTTACACATTTTTCAAACAACTCCCCAATTCTCCCGGAAACAAACATTTCTCTTAGCGCAAGTCTAAAGCTCCTTTTGCGCATGAGAATTGTGAATGTCATTTTAAAATACATTGAGTTGGAAACCAAAAATTAATGCAAACAAGTGATAGAATAATGATAAAATAAGTTGCAGAGATTTTCATATAAGTTGAATGAATTAATATTGAAATATTTTTCTGTATTTTGACTCTACACAGGAAACGCTTTTCAGTATCAGATCATCCAATCTTCAGTCGTCAAAATTTCGAATCAGTAATAAGAGAGCGTCCGAGGCACCATTTTGGGCAGCGGGTCCTGCCTCATTTCTCACGCCGTTCTGTTAGATTTTGAAGGCGGGAGCGCAACGCCGCCTTCTCGTAGCGACCTCCCAGCACCCCTTACCGCACCCCCCTCTCCTGTGCCCTCTCTCTTTACCCTCTCCCCACTTCCGCCCTCCATCTCTTCCACGCCTCTTCCCTAACTGCCCTTCGCAGTAGCCACTCTTTTACCTGCCACTCCCTCTAACGAGTTCATGCATACCGGCAACGTGGCTCAGGGCAGGTCTCAGACCGTGCAGGCCTCTCACGTTCCCTCGAGTCCGGACGATGCGCACTATTTTTGACACTAGCTACAACCGGTCCAGTCGAAATTTAGTCGCTGTCTGACTTACTTCTTACGGGAACAGATGCTCTGCTGCGGCGGTAGTTTCTGTTAGCCTACTCTGAAAAAACAACAAGATAAATGGCGAGGGCAGTACCCTAACAAACGGTCCCCCCAATCCGTCCTTCTCCGTTCTTGTCCCTATCCTTACCCCTTTCACACGCACACCCTCGCAGAAACTACACTACCACACTTGTCGAAGACCAGTGGCAGCTAGAAACTTGGCTGAGGCGATGCCCCTCTCTGGGGTGGGAGTAAGCTGGCGTTAGTGAAAAACCAATGCATGCCAACGCTAAGATCTAAGGGCTGAGAACATTAATTAGTTGCGTTGCCCGCCGCTACTAATCACGTAATTAATCACTCAAACTCGAGTGCGTCGTGCGAGTGAGTCGTGTCGCGTGCGGCTTCATCTGGTTCATTTCCAGCCACACCCTGCCTCCCACATCATCGCCACACGGCGCCACAATTTCCCACTGCTCCCTCTCGTATTCCTTCTTCCCCTCCTGCCTCATTCCGCCCCCTCCCGTACTGCCGCCCGTCCTCTTCTCTCTTGCCCTCCCTTTTTCATCCATCGCACTCGCAGGTCCCGCCGCTCCCCCACTCTGCCGTTTCCACCCCCCCTCCAACCCTCAATTCGCGTCGT